GCGGATTTCGCCTTCCCATTGTTGCGGGACTTGTTGGTGCTTCGCGGCTGGACAGCGGCCACCTGATCTCCGTCACTTGATACTGGAGTGGCTGCTGGGTTATTTCCACTGTCCTGCTGGACTGCAGCGAAGTGCTGCTGTCGCGGACCAGTTCGTACCTTCTCCACATAGGTCGGCTGCCATGATGTTGATTTCGCGTGTGCAGCTGACCTGTTGGTCTTGATGATCTTCCTCGCTTTGTCAATGATCTCCGCGAAGGTTGAGTACTGCTCGCGATCACCAAGAGCCTGGCTCAATGCCGCACAAGACCTGTTGTAGAACTCACGATGTAGATGCTCGAATGGTAGGTTCAGATTGGGCACAGCCGCAATCTTCTGCCACACCGTGAGCCAGTCCCGTGTTGCTGTGTTGCCCTGTGACATGGTGAACAAACGGTTGATGGCGAGTGTCGGCGCGTCGTCGACGATGAACCGCTTCTTCCACAGTCGTGTCAGTTCCTCCCATGTGATTACGTCCTTCAAGTCTGGTACGTCGACGCCGTGGGAGGTTGCTAGGTGACTCAACCAGGTCTGGCATCCGCCCTTTGAGTTCAGGAACAGGGCGCCGATGTACGGGTGCTTGGCTACTGGCAGAATCCTGAGTTGCGTTGTGAATGCTTCCCACCAGAGGACGGGATCCTGCTGCGTGTAGTCGTCGAACCTCTGCAGGTTGAAAGTTGGCATCTTGTACATCTTCGGATTGTCGTCCGCGTTTGTCGACTGCAGCTTCTGGACCTCGGTCTTCAATGTATGCAACTGATTGCTGATGGTGGTGGTCGGCGCAGCGAAGGTGCTGATGTCGCCGAGCATTGCCACTACGTGGTCAACGCGGTCCTCCAGTTGGCGGCTTGAGGGTGCACTGCTGGAAGCTCCAGCAGCTGGTCCTGGTACAGCCTGTTCCACGTCCAACAATCGGGCATTGAGTGCYCGAGTTGCATCCTCGTGGCTCTGCACTGTGCGGCGGAGCGTCGCCAATTCCTGATGCTGTTGCGTCAGGTCCCGGTGTTGTCTCTCCAAATCTGACCTTTGGTAGTTGCAAGCATACAACAACCGCGTCACGAGTTTGGAGAGGAACTCCTTGTGCTTCTCTTTTGGTGTTGCCTCGTCGCCGTTCGGTTTAAAATGCCAGTACTTGAGTCTGTCGATGCTGTTGGCTTCATGCCGCTGCAGCTGATCCAGGGCTTCCTTGCGGCGAGCCTGGGCATCTGCGTTTGCATCGGCCTGTAGCTGCAGTTTCTCTGCTGCTGCTGCCTCTTCAGCCTGTATGCGGGCAGCCTCGACTGCCAGCAGGCGTTGTTCCTCAGCCTCTATCTGAGCCAGGCAACGCTGCTTGTAGGCGGCAATGGTCTCATTGGCCAGTTGGCCTGACAGGCCCGTCATGTTGCTGACGTGGCATTGCTGCTTACGTGGCACTGCTGATGTGGCACTGCTGACATGGCACTACTGACGTGGCACTGTTGACGTGGCACTGTGTCGATCGTCACTGCAGACGTGGCACTGTGTCTGATGTGGCACTGCTTATGTGGCACTATGTCTGACGTGGCAATGTGACCTGGCACTGCGGACGTGGCACAGCTGATCTGGCACTTTGACGTGGCACTGCTACTATGACTTGGCACTGCTGATCTGGCACTGTGACGTGGCACTGGTGACGTGGCGCTGTACCGAAACGGGATGCATGCAAGGGGTGGGTGGGAGGGAAAACGGAGGGAGGTAACCAACCCAACAATGCTTTCCTCCGGCCCTAATCAACAGATAAAATAAAAAAATAAAATAAAAGAGGACTACTTCCTTTTTGTTTTTTTGTATATATCTGTCGATTTATGATGAGTAGGATATGTCAGAAGAGTATCATGAACGAGATCTAGGCTAGGTGCCGCAAAGTTTTGGCTTTTACAAACTGCGATCTTGAAATTTTTTTGCGAAATGG